TGTCTGCTTCAAGTCTGATCTTAACCGAGACATTAGGTGCATTCTCACCTTGAGAATGGATGTTTTGCATCACTAAGTGCCTTATTGTGATGATGCTTTATTTTCTTGTATTTACTTTTTTCCTCACCTTTCTCTTTGTATCTGTTGTTCCTTTATATGTGTTTTTTCATCATAAATGAACAGTAATGCCAAAGACTGCTCTTCATTTTATATATTGTACAAATATTGTACTTTTTTCATTATTAATTTATGTACAGTTCATTTCATTCATTTTGTACAAGTTTCATTATTTTTTACACTATTTTTATACTAAGGGGCAGAAAAGCATATTCCTATGATCATCAAATATCAAGTACTAGACCTTTTTTCATTATTATGCTGTTTTTTACAGAATATTTATTACATGATTTTGCCTGGTTAATAGTAAATGCTTATGTGGTTCAAAGTGATAGTATGTGCTACACCACTGAAGGAAATTGTGAACAAACAGTTCAGTAAGCAATAGTAACACTAATTGAAAATATTTCTTATTGAATAGTTTTGTACTGAGAGCGATAATTTGTGCCTTCTATGTACATGAAATGTTAAAAATTGTTAGTGCCAGTAAATAAAATAGGTATGTGCATACATTGTGAAATCTATAATTTATGTTTTATTGCATATTTTGTACAAGATTTACTGTTTGAAATTAAATAATCCTTATTTATAAAATACTCTGGCTATTTCATTGTTTGCCTCTTCATAAATTTAATAGTGTCATTGGTGTATGGAATCTGTAGAAAAAAAGGAGAATTATCATTCATTAGAAGCATTTATTATAATGTGTGGATTAGACTTCTCTGAAAATCTAGCAGTTGTGATTATACTCTTTTACTTTCTAGTAGTTAAATTTCTGGCTTCAATATAACTATGTTCCACTATCATTTTAATCATGTGACTTGAATTTTCCAGCATTGTAGGATTTACTAGTTTGCAAATGCAAGTGGATACTGGGGAGCTTTAGAATGTATGTAAGAATAAAGTTCTTACAATAAAAGTATTTAATCCGTTGAGTGGGTAAGTCACCAAGTTTTTGCTGAAAACTGCCTGCAATTTCCCTGTACCACTCAATTTGAACCTCCACCTAAGGTGGCTCAGTGAATCAATTGATCTCACTGCAGTGTCTCTGACTGGGAGGTCCTAAGGTTCGAATCCTCACAGATTTTCCACACTAGTAACATAGGAAGGTAAAATTCAGCTTCTGTCTGGAGGAGAATTCTAGTGACCTGCTCTGTTTGGTTGTAATCTTGGCATCTTTGATCATCACCAAGAGAATGCTGGAGCAGAATCCTAATAAACGGGCAATGGGCCACGCACAATCTTTCCTTCTTCTTCCTTGCCCTATCCTCACCCCTTAAACTCACACTTACATGCACTGGTTGGGAAAAACCCTGCAAGCTGATGTAGGTCAGTGTCAGATCTTAACACTCAATCATCTCCCATGATAAAAATGTGCACTTCAAATACCTGACTAATGACAGCAGTTGAAGTGCTGAAGAACATTTGAACCGATAATCACCATCATTATCAAAAAATTTAATTCTCTTAATATGAAAGATCCATTTTCTCTGTCCACCCTTTATTTCTTCTATTGCATTTTTTGCCTTAACCTTTTTCTGATGTCTACTCCTTTGCCTATCTTTTAGTGTCACTCCTATGACATAGGATTGCGTCTAGTCTTTGTTGCTCTCTGCTTTTCATTGTCCAGACTTCTGAACCATACATGAGGATTAGTTAAGATATCATTCGTAGTTTTTGTCTCTGTGGTCATATCTGTTTTTTGATTTGTCCATTCATCTTATTGTATTTCTGAATTTTCTTTTCTATGTCTTCCAAACTCTCTCCAATGAAGTTGCCCTGATAATTGAATTTAGATACTTTTTCTATTATTTTCCCATTTATGACATTTTAACTCTTCTAATTTCTTTTCCTTGATATGCCATTGCTTTTGTCTTGTTTGTGGAAATTTACATATTATATTTCAGTGATATTGTATACCGTTCATATGCTGCTTTTTGCAAGTAATTTCTGATTCCATTATTATGACTGTGTCATCTGCATACAGGATTGTTTGGATCTTATGCCTTTTATTTTTACATTTACATTACATTATTTACATTACATATTTTTACATTTTACATTTATTCCCTTTCTTAGAGCTTGTTTCCATTCCTTGATTATATGGGGTTGGCATATATGTTCGCATGGTGACAGGCCACATCCCTGTCATAACCCTCTGTTTGTTATAAAAGATTTTGACACATTCCCCTCGTTCATTTTTATCTTCAACTGTGAGTCAGTACTTTGTGTAGAGGCTTTGGATTCCCTTTCTAACTTCTATAGGTACGTTCTCGTCTTCTAGTATTGGCCACATTAGTTCACGGTCTGCTTTCTCAAAGTCTATGAATAATAGGTAAGTTGGTAGAGTCACTCCATTGGGTCTGTCCAGGATTGTATAGTAAATGTTGCATCTTTTGTACTCCTTCCTTTTCTGAATCCATTCTGTTCTTCTCCCAGTAATGTTTCACTGTATTTGTTTATTCTATTTCTTAGTATGTTGACAAAAAGTTTTGATGCTGTGGGTAGGAGCGTTATCCCCCAATAATTGTTATAACTTGTTTTTGCTCCTTTCTCGGGCAAATTTATAATGACACCTATCTGTCATTCTTTTAGGGATTAATTTTCTTCCCAGACTTTATTGGAGAATTCTATCATGCCCTTGAGTTCTTCTCTGTCATATTAAATCCGTGGAAATTTCATCCCCTCCTGGACTTTACCTATTTTTAGCTTTTATTGGCACCCTTTCCAGCTCTTCTTTCGATATCTGTCATGATATTTCTGAACACTCAATTACTGTATTGCTCATCCTTGGGTCTGTTGTGTCTGGTTTATTCCATAACTCCTCATAGTGCTCTATCCATTTCTCTTCAGGGATGAGATCTGTGCAGACTTTGTCTATTTCCGCTCGGAGCCTCTTTATGATTTTAAAACCCATTCTTTGGGGGCCTGTGATGTTTCTCTCCTTTGATCTCACAAATTTCTGCCAGTCATCTGTTAATTTGCCTTGTTAGTCTTCTTGTTTCTGCCCTATATCTCTTATATTCTATGTAATCTTTTATAGTGTGTGACTGCAGGTCTCTGGTATGCTTTCCTCCTCATGATCACATTCTAAATTTCTTTATTCCATGTTCTTAAACATGTTTTTTGGGTATTTGGTATTCTAACTTGTTTTAGAGTTCACCATAATCCTTCCACATTGTGTTTGTCTATTCTTTGTAGCTTCTCTTTAAGGTGGCTTTTGTGTAGGTATCTGATGCTGTCTTCTGTAAAAGGTAGGTTTCCAGCTTTGGAGTTACTTTCATTTTTCTCTTTATTTAATTAATTTTTTTAATTTCTTTTATTTCGTGTGTGTTGAATTTCAGTTTAGTTTCCACTAGGTAGTGGTCTGTATCCAGTTCCCTTCCTCAGAAAGCTTTTGTGTTCTTTGCTTTATCAAATATTTACTCATTCACTATGATATAATCTATTATGGATTTTGTTCCCTTTGCTTCCCAGGTGAATTTATGATTTTCTTTGTGCTTGAAATAGTAATTGGTTATTCTCAAAATGTGAACTAGTAATAATAGGTATAACCAATGCTGAGTTCCACATATCCTTTATCAATTTGAATCCCTTGAAATTAAAAAAAAATGGTAATTCCAAACATGAAAATCCAGATATGACATTAACCAAAAAGAAATAATTTTATATAATTTATATATCTCTTACTTGTGGGGCGGTTCATCTGTAAGATACTTATTTAATATTAATTGTAAATATATAATCTGGATTATTTGTTTACTCTAAGGTACACAATAAAATTAGGTTATGCTATTATTCTTACAGTTGTGCACAAATGCTTTACAGAAGTTGAATGTTGACAGCAGGTCAATCAGAATATACCACTTTTTAACCAGAAAAATGGCATTGGGCACAATATTTTGTTTAGAGTGTAATTTACATTTTTTTTAAATATATCTTCTTGATATGATTCTATTTAATTTATTGAAATTAACATTTCATTATTCTTTTGTGTGGGAATTGTGAGAAAAAAAACAAAAAACGCATACCCACAACAAATGTGCTTTGGAACAGCAGTGTTGAACACTATTATCTGTACTAAACTGGGAGAATCGAATCTGTAAATTCTGTATTTGTAGGGAAAAATATGTCATTTTTTCCTTCTATCCTTCCGAACTCCCATCCTTTCCTTCCTTTGTTCTGTTTTGTTACTGAACTCAAGAAAACCTCTAGGAATTAAAAAAGAATAATTCTAGTTCTTCACATCTGCACCATAATGTAATGTACTGTAGTACATACACTGTTTCATGAATACTACTTCAACTGCAGTAGAAATAATGTGAAGGCTGTAACAGACCTTAAACTATACATTTTATTATTTCACTGCTAGTTCTCTTAATTTCTCTAATTATGTTTCTTCTCGTATCTGTATTGGTGAGACAAACATTTTATAAGAAATATTTAATTTTTTGTCTGGACAGTGGTGGATGTCTTTGGTGATGGTCCAGAGTATTTTTAATTATAATTTATGCTACTTACTAAAACATTAAAAATTTGTAGCAAAGCACTAGTGCATTAATAACTAAATATATGTTACAAATGTCTTATAATTATGAATTATACAGTGAGAATGGATCTGCGATTTAACAAAGCAAAGGGCTAATGTTAAAATCTTACTTCTTAGATAATTAAAGATTGTGATGTCAGGTAGCCCCCACCCTATCTTGTGAGAGATTTGTTTTCCTTCAAATACTTCATGGCTTGGCCAGTGGTATACTGCATTAAGATTGGAACATGTAACACTATGTTTATAAACTATCTTTCATTTTTCTGACGCTTGGCCCATTATTTACAATGCTTCAAATAATGTGCTAGAAAATCTTCCAACTCGCAAAATATACGAGTTATTCTCCCATTAACGTGTAAATAAATAATTAATCTAGAACCGATCTTTTACAAGGCTCAGTAGGAATAAGAGTCACCGACTGGTAGAAAAGAGATGCCACTTTCTTGGCGCTTCGAGGATCTGAAGTTAATGTACGAAAATTGCTGTCAAGGTCAGAAATGAAACTTGAGGGAACAATCACGAGAAGACTGACGATCGCAATGCTCTCTGCAGGTATTCGTTAGAACGTGGATGTTCAGATGCTCTTGGATGGTGGTATGATCTGCTGGTGACCGATAAAAATAGCTCCGCTCGGCGGGAGGTTCGGCGGCATTCCCGATGCATTCCTGTCTAACACTTGACGCGAGCGGAGTGGGTTGTTTCCTCAAGTGACAGCAAGTGACAGTGACAGAGGTACGATGCGCAAGTGAATTCGTTTTTGAAAATGGATATGAAAAGCTGCGATGTCAAAGATTTTCTGCAAGGTGAGATTTCTGCGTCTGTTAATATTGTTCTTTAATGAATGTAATGGCATGTGCTAAGCAACACCAATGTACAATTACGGCGTAAACGTTTGAACAATTGTTTATGTGCGGAGTATAACCTATAAAACTGCAATTATACCCATCGTAAGTATTACATATTTTTAAAGTAATTTTAGTGTCTTACGTTCACAATATTTCTGAATTAATTCGAAAGTGACATAACGTACTGTCATTGTCTTTGCAAGTGCTTCCCATTCTGTATACATATCACCTTTAACCTTAGTTTGTGATTTGTTAATTACTAATAGTTATATTCTGGTGATCTTGTTGAAGAGGATATTACTTTGTTGCAATAATAGTACTATTCTGACAATTCTTACTAAATTGTTTTCGTGTTTGTATTCTGTCATAATTTATGAAACGTAGTCTTATTTTATTGTTGTCCTATACGAGAATCATCTCCATTCTCTGAATTCATTTGGTTTCGTTTACGACCAGTTTAGTTCAATGATGAACATTTTAGTTATTCTGTTCATGCGCCTTCTTTCGGTGTACCCAACGTGACGTCGCTGAGTGGATTTGCTATGCGTGTAATGTGCGGAATCTATTGTCTTACGTGAGAATTATGATCGAGAGTGAAATGTTAGATACCGACGACTTTTTTTATTGTGTATTAGAAACGTTTGAGGAATTCGCAGAAATATTTGTCATTAAATGAAGTTTAGCGGGTCATCAGTTCATGCGTGGCAACATTGGGCGAAACTAGTTAATTTATTAGTAAGGGACTGATTAAGCCTTTTGGACGTAAGTTATTGGTAGGTTTTATTGATGAAATGACCCACCAAAGCTATTTGAATACAAAAAGAATATTGACAACTCGTATGATTTATTCGTTTTCACATTTTATGATGTAGATGAGCACAAGAAGCATCCGTGTATTAGGATTGTGTGTGGAAATTCAAGATGCGAAAAATAAATCTTAAAGAAAAGCGATTTTCCAATCAGTATCTTAGTTTCAGATTTATAGTGAGTTAAAAGTATTCGTTTCTGTATCCCCCGAGTAGCGCAATATTTCACAGTCAATGCATGCAATCACATGATTCGTAACCAATGTGGGGTGAAGCGACGTCATCGCGTCACGAACAGGTCACGAATAAGGATGTGACGGCTCCGCCACATAACAAGCGTGTAAAACTGGACAAACGGATAACAGCCGCCTGTAGCCATCGTTGGGAGTAGCACCGATCATTATGGCAATAAGAATAAATATACATTCACATAGTTACAGAGTGCGTTTCTAAAACGCAAGTATTTTGTGATCGTAATAAGCGTTCATGTTCAAGGAACATTTTTATTTTCACAAAATTCCCCCACACTGCATGCAACTGGTTCAATGGTCGAAATTCCTAATATTTTGTTTGCGATGGTGCATGAACATTCTTCTGCTAACACAATAGACTTCATAATGTTCGCACGTACTCTTTCCCAGCTCTTAATTGCTTAATTCCATGGGAATGACCTGCACAATGGCCTGGAAATTCCGATGCATCGGTTTAAACATGACCACATAGACTTCTTATGAGGGCTCCATTAATTTTTGTTAATACTAGTTACGCAATTTTGATAAATGTCACTTTTTCCTCTTCACATGTTAAGTATTTCGTTTACTGTTTCTTTGCATTAAACAAGTGAACAAAATATTGCTAATTTAAAAAAATAGTACTGTATCAATTTCATTAATGTTTACGCTTGTGACAATAATTGGAATTCACAATCGTGTGCATTATTAGGAATTATTCAAATTTGCGATGAATGTATGTTGCTCAATGATAAAAAGAGAGGGCTGTAGGAACAAATAATAATTCAAAATTTGATCTGGAGAATGAATTTTCAGTGGCAAACTTATCCCCCTCCCCAGCAGAATGCTAATCCGACGGAATATCATTATTCACATTTGATTTACGATGCAAAAATTGCATTTTATTCATTTTCTTTAAAAAAAACCTAAATTTTCAATATTAGTTATGTAATATTCAGTTAAAAAAAGAGCATTGTTTGAAATTATATTAAATATCTCAATCTAATATGATATAATCTAACTAATGTAATACTATTAATATTGTATCATCGACTAATTTACTTTCTTGTAAATATAATATAAATTATTAAAATTATGAAATAATTCGGCCTCGCTATTATTAGATATATACCGTGCTGGTGAGAGGTCCTCATTCTATAAGTTTATTTTAACGTTGAATGTTCCCCCTAATATATAGGGAATGCTTTTTAAAACATGTTAGGAAATTATGGTTTCCCGTGGTTCTCGTAATGTAGGTTCTTTGGTGAAGAGCAATTTCATTTGGATGTGAGAAATGTGTACAAACACCGATAGCGGCAACCTGAAGGCAACACCTTGTGATGCCGCGACTTGTCAGATGCCGGTAATTTGCGTGCTTGGCTCAATCTGAGAAAAAAAATCAAAGAAAAAAGTTCGTGCCATTTTTGACAAAATTTTGAAAATGTTCTTGTTACTTCATGAGATTTACCTACAAAAATCAAAGTATCCCTTTCAAATTCAAGGAACTGGGACATCAACCAGGAAGAGCGGGAAATATTCATTTTGGTGAAAATTCTCTCTAGTTTAACAGCTAACGTTATTTACTGACGGACGTTTTGCCGTAAAGCAATTTTTTTCGGTATCAAGAACCCATAAAATGCGGACTCTGATTTCACAAAGGGTTGGAGAAAGTTATTTACTACATACATGGACAGGAATTATGTACTTTATCGGAATCAGGGACCCACAACACGAGTTTTTCTGTCGAAAAGTTGCCGTATTTTGCTGCAGTATTGCAAGTCTTTCTCCATACTTCGTGAATATTATGCGAGAAAGTAACTTGCGAGGTTTCAACGGCACATACTTTCTCGTGTTATTTATACGACTACGCAATATTCTGAGAAGACAAAAGTCGTGGGATAGTAAAATGCAAATATACAGATGGCAGTATCGCGTACAAAAGGTATAAAGGGCAGTGTATTGGCAGAGCATTCATTTGTACGACGTGTGATTCACGTGAAATGTTTCTGATGTGTTATGGCCGAACAACGGGGAATTAACAGATTTTAAACTCGGAATGGTAGTTGGAGCTAGACGCATGGGGCATTCCTTTTCGTAAATCGTTAGGGAATTCAATATTCCGAGATCCATAGTGTCAAGTGTGTGCCGAAAATACTTAATTTCATGCAGAACCTCTCATCACGGACATCGCAGAAGCCGACAGCCTTCACTTAGACCGAGAGCAGCGGCGTTTGCGTAGAGTTGTCAGTGCTAACAGACAAGAAACACAGCATGAAATAATTGCAGAAATCAATGCGGGACGCGCGACGAATGTATGCGTTAGGAAAGCACGGCGCAATTTGACTTAAATGGGCTATAGCAGCAGAAGACAGACTCGTGTGCTAACAGCACATCGCCTGCACCTCCCCTCCTGGGCTTGTGACCTTATCTATTGGACCCTAGACGACTGGAAAATTGTGGTTTGGTCGGATGAGTTCCGATTTCCGGTAAGAACAGATGGTAGGGTTCAAGTGCCATCAGCCACAGCCAAGAGTCACGAAGCCATGGACCCAAGTTGTCAACTAGGCACTGTGCAAGCTGGTGGTGGCTCCATGATGGCGTGAGCTGTTTTTAGATCATTGACTGGAAATAGTGATGTTCAGTTACTTGGAGACCATTTGCAGCCATTCATGGGTTTCATGTTCCCAAACAAAGATTTTTTATGGATGGCAATGCGCCATGTCACCGGGCCACAATTCGCGATTCATTTGAAGTACATTTTGGACGAATGATTAGGCCATCCAGATCGCCAGATATGAATCCCATCGAACATTTTTGCGACATAATCGGAAGGTCAGTTCGTGCACAAACTCCTGTACTGGCGACACAATTATGGGCGGCTATCGAGGCAGCGTGGCTCAATATTTCTGTAGGAAACGACCGACGACTTGAGTCCATGCCACGCCGAGTTCCTGCACTTCGCCGGGCCAAAGGAGGTCTGGATTGATATTAGGAGGTATCCCATTACTTTTGCCACGTCAGTGTACTACTACATGTACTACTGCAAGGCTGTTTCCAACCAGCAAACATTTGATCTCCGCGCCAAGATTAGAACTAAGATCCTTCTAGGATCGCGGGTTCGAGTCCCGCCTCGGGCATGGTTGTATTGTGTTTCGTCCTTTCACCCCCTATCATCATCATTATCGTGTCAATCCACAGTTACCATACCGTTACAAGCAATAGTGGTCGCTAATGACCTAGTAGTTGATGCGACCTTAAATAATAATAATAATAATAATAATAATAATAATAATAATAATAATATCCTTCTAGTCAACACGCCAACTCAGCTTTCCCGTTGCAAATAAAACTAGTAGTTCGTCACATTATTTCCAACTTTAACACTTTTTAAAATTCAGAGAGTTCAACGAATGTGCAATCTGCGCCATTTTTGAGCGTCCTTTACTCTATCCGGGGAATTATAAAAGAAACAATTTGAAGCAGTTTTTGAGAAAAAATATAAATTACATTAACTTCCACCAGAAAGTACCCGAAAACTACTGGTTACATGATTTAAAGATGTACTTTTTAGAATGTATTTTATAAACTAAAAAATCTGTAACATTAATAATGTACTTTTGCTATGTTAATTTATTTGCAATTGTCAAACGTACAGAGTGTACGCCAGAAACCAGACCATCACCATTTTTTGCTGTTCTTTTCACCATACAAGGGGGAAAAGTTGGAACCGTTTTAGAAAAATAAATTGTTTAAAAATCGCGTCTATTTGACGCAAAATTACGCGAAAACTACTCAGATTTTCGAAACATTGTACTCGACGTTATTTTAAGATATGTCTTTGAACAACAAATTTCATTAAGGAAAAAAAATTAACAAAATGTGAGAAAACAATGATTATCACTTAAATAATAATAATAATAAT